ATATAAGTTAAATAAGCAGGGTGACAATATACAACCTTGATGTACTCCTTTCCCAATTTGGAACCAGTCTGTTGTTCCATGTCCAATTCTAACTGTTGCTTCCTGACCTGCATACAGATTTCTCAAGAGGCAGGTCAGGTGGTCTAGTATTCCCATCTTTTTCAGGATTCTCCACAGTTTGTTGTGATCCACACGGTCAGACGTTTTGACATAATCAATAAAGCAGAAATAGATGTTTTTCTGGAACTTGCTTGCTTTTTCGATGATACAACAGATGGCAATTTGATCTCTGGTTCCTCCGACTTTTCTAAAACCAGGTTGAACATCTGGAATTTCATGGTATTGTTGAAGCCTTGGAGAATTTTGAGCATTACTTTACTAGCGTGTGAGATGAGTGCAATTGTGCGGTAGTTTGAGCATTCTTTGGCATTGCCTTTCTTTGGGATTGGAATCAAAACTGACCTTTTCCAGTCCTGTGACCACTGCTGAGTTTTCCAAATTTGCTGGCGTATTGAGTGCAGCACTTTCACAGCATCATCTTTTAGGATTTGAAAGAGCTCAGCTCTTTTGGCCCTGACCAGAGAGCAAACCTGTGCCCCCTTGTGGTGGGAGCATGGAACCACTGGGCCCTCAGGGAAGCCTGTCACCTACTCCTTTCATCCATCCAGTGAAGCAGGTGCTGTTACCACGGCTATGCTACAAGGGAAGGAAACTGAGGCACGGCTCAGAGGACTCGCCCATGGCCGCATCTCATAGCTGGTAAGTATCAGAATAAAGATTTGAACCCAGCACTCACTCAGACTCCCCCTCCACCTCCCCTGCTCTGTGTTCATAACCATAAGGTGTCCCTGCCTGTTTGGGGGGAATATTGGCAGCAACCAGCTTGTCCAATAACAGCTGCTGCTGTCGTGCTCAGTCATGTCTGACTCTTTGCGACCCGATGGCCTGGAGCCCTCCAGGCTCCTCTGTTCATGAGGTTCTCCAGGCAAGGGTACTGGGCTAGATACTGGGTTGCCATTTCCTTCTCTAGGGAACTTCCCTACCCAAGGATGAAACCCGCATTTCCTGCATTGGCAGGCAGAATCTTTACCACTGAGCCACCTCGGAAAGCCCTTAATAATGACAGGGGACTCAACAAACTCTGATACAGCAATGCTTAATGAGACCACAAGACACTTTAAAAGCACAAAGTTTGGGGACTTCCCTTGTAGTCCAGTGGTTAGGTCTCCATGCTTCTACTGCAGGGGGAATGATTTTGATCCCTGGTCAGGGAGCTAGGTTTCCCCAAGTTGCATGGTTTGGCCAAAATAAAAAAGTCTGGGTTACATACACTGGCTTAGAAAAATGTTGGAGACATAGTCACCAGTGCCTGTGTGCCAAGTTGCCTCAGTTGTGTCCGACTCTTTGCAACCCTATGGACCACAGTCTGCCAGGCTCCTCTGTCCAGTAGATTCTCCAGGCAAGAATACTGCAGTGGGTTGTCATTTCCCACTCCAGGGAATCTTCCCGACCCAGGAATCAAATCCAAGTCTCCTGCCTCTCCTACTTTGATAGGTGGGTTCTTTCAACCAGCTCCACCTGGGAAGCCCATAGTCACCCAGAATAAAGCAAAATATTGACACCATTGATGTCCAGGGTCAGCAAACTACTATCACTGTCCAGCCCACTGACTGGTTTTGTAAATAAAGTTTTATTGAGACACAGCCACACTCATTTATTGACATATCACCTGTGACTGCTTTGGGGTTACAAGGAATGGCAGCATCAGATAGTTGTAATAAAGACACTATGGGCCGTAAGACAGACAGTATTTTACTCTCTGGTCCTTCACAGGAAAAACTTTGCTGACTTCTGGCCAATTTGGATAAACAGCAAAGCCAGACCAAAGTGAGTTGAAGACTGAGTGACTGAACAACAATAAACCAGCAGGAACGGTTGTTTTAAGACATGCATCAGATGACCACCAAGATGTGTTTGGTGTGGGAACAGCCATGTAATGGATGCTCCAAAAAGTGGGTGTGGGGGTGTGAGGAGAGGTGTGGGAAGATGGGTTTGATGCCTTCTCCCTGTCCAGCTCGGGAGGCACCAAGAGCATGGACCATTTCTCCCCCCCCCCACCCCAAGG